TCTGGCTTTACCTGATTTCTCCACCAGCTCGCTCACATCCTTCTTCTCGACCAGCCCGGAGTATCCCAGCCCTCGACATTCCAGGATGGTCTTTAACTTCTTGTAACTGAGAGTAACCGGATCCACAAGCTGCGTAGCGAACATACCAGTCTCATACCAAACTACTGCCTCAAAAATCCTCGCCAACGTAAACAACACTATGAAATATAAGAGCAAGAAGAACAGTTTCAACCACATCTTACGGCTGAGCGAAAGCGCCAAGAGGAGGTCTGCGAGCGGCTGTGGTCAGCAGACAGGCTTACACAGACTCCCCACACATCTGCAGCAGACACGGACACACAAACGTCTCTAATTACAGCTGGAAGGACCCCCCCCTCACTTGTTTCTCCAACTGTTTACCGTGCTAACGGTGACAGCTTAGCACTTAGCTTAGCATCGCAGGTAGGCCTCTGATGTAACAAAACTAAGCGTCTTTAGCTCTTCGTCGCCACCGCAGCAGCTTCCGCTGACAGTCAGCCCCGTGTGAGCCCGGACACTAACGCGGAGCTTCACATTCTCTGGGCTACAAACCGCCAATAATGACGAGTGTGATCGTTATTGTTTCTGTCTCCGATCAGCTGTGTGCGCGGAGAAGATGGCGTCATATCCTGTTCCACTTGACGCTTGTAATACCCCCCTTCTCCACACACACACACACACACGCAGAGTAATGAAACTGTCAAAGTGTAAATAAACAAAAGTTAAATCAATTATTTTAACTAGAAAAATGTGCATTTCCTGCGAAAATGCTGTGTGAATGCTGTAAGGCTGCAGCTGTCTGCTGAAAATAGCTGAAGAAGCTGAAGAAGCTAAAGTCAGCATTTGAAAAGTAGTTGAACTTGTAATCGTTTCGCTCAAGCATAACAACTTAGCACAAACATAACAACTTAGCACAAATGTAATAACTTAGCAGAAATGGTACAACACAGCAGAAGTATTGTAATTCAGCAGAAATGTTAATAATTAGCACAAACATAGCAACTTGGAAGAAGTGGTGTAACAGTTTAACTTAATGTACTGTAGTATAATAGTATAACTTAGTAGAAATGTAACATAGTAGCAGAAATAGTGTAATTTAGTAGAGAAGTAATAACTTCAGCAGAAAGGTTGGAAAAGCAAAACGTTTCCTCAAAACTATTTGTTTTTCAGCTGTGAAGAATTGGCAGAAACATTAGAAAAGCAAGGAACAGCAGGTACACAAGGCCAAAATGACATGCCTAACAATGTTTACAAACATGGACACACACACAGAAACGCAGTGACACATAACCCACATCCAGAAAGCAATGTTTACAAACATGGCTGCAAACATAAACACAGACATACAAATATACACAGACAGGGGCACACACAGACACACACAGAGACACACACACAGAGCATGGACTGTCCTGTGTGTGTCTGTGTGTGTCTGTGTGTGTGTCTATGCCAGTCAGCCAGTCTGAATCTGCTCAATTTTAATCCACCAATGAAATGCTGCCCTCAAAGAATAAAAATTGGGTCTCTCTCTCACACACACACACACACGTACACACACATACATGCACGTACACACA